TAGTTTGTTTCTCCATTGCTGTGACAAAACACTCTGACCAATACCAACTTGGGGAGGAAAGGGTTTTATTTAGCTCAGATACCCCAGGTCACAGTCCATCAGGGGAGCCCAAGGTAGGAGCTCAGGGCAGGAACCTGGAGGCAGGAGCTGGAGCACAGGCCGTGGAGGAATGCTGCTTACTGGCTTACTCCCCTGGCCCCTGCTCAGCCTGCTTTCTTATGCAACACAGGCCCACCTGCCCAGGGGTGGCACCACCCACAGTGGGCTGGGCCCTCCCGATCACTCAACAATCAAGAAGATGCCCCATGGACATGGCCACAGGACAGTCCAATGAAGGCAATTCCCCACACTATTGGAGTCCTGTTCAAAAAGTCCTTTCCTGTGCCTATAAGTTCCAGTGTATTCCCTACTTTCTCTTATATGAGCTTCAGGGTATCAGGTCTTACATTGAGGTCATTGATTCATTTGGAGGTCAGTTTTATGCATGGTGAGCAATAGGAATCTAATTTCATTCTACGTGTAGCTATCCAGTTTGACCAGCAACATTTGTTGAACATGGTGTCTTTTCTCTAATGTGTATTTTTGGCCCCTTTGTCAAAAATCAGGTGATTATATGTAGACTTAACCTGAGTCCTCAATTCTATTACATTGATCAATGTGTCTGTTTTTATGCTAGTATAATACTGTTTTTATTACTATAGCTCTATAGTGTATTTGAGATCAAGAATGATGCATTCAGCTCTTCTGTTTTTCAAGATTATTTTGGGCTATCCTGGGTTTTTGTTTTTCCATATAGAATTTGAGATTGTTTTCTTCAATTTCTATAAAGAACTGTGTTTGAATTTTAATGAAATTGTGTTTAATCTGTTGATTGCTTTTGGTAGGATGTCCATTTCCACAATATCAATCCCACTGATCCATGAGCATGGGAGATCTTTCCATTTCCTGGTGTCTTCTTCAATTTCTTCAATGTCTTAAAATTCTTATTATACAGATATTTCACTTCCTTGGTTAGATTTATTCCAAGATATCTGATAGTTTTTGAGGCTGTCATGGTTGTTTCCCTGGTTTCTTTCTATGTTTGTTGGTGGTACACAGGAAAAGCTTCTGGTTTTTGTGTTTTAATTTTGTTTCCTGCTACTCTGCTGTTTTGTGTTTATGAGCTGTAGGAGTTTTCTGGTAGAGTCTTTAGCGTCTTTTATGCTTAGAATCATAACATCTGCAAATAAGGAGACTTTGAATTCTTCCTTCGCAAGTTGTACACTTCACCTCTGGCTTCTCTTGTCTAATTACTCTAGGTGAAGCTTCAAGCAATGAACAAGGATGAAAAAAGTGAACATCTTCACTTTATCCCTAATTTTAGTTGCAATGCTTTGTTTTCCCTGTTTAGTATGATGTTGGCTGTGGGGTTGCTGTATATTGCCTTCATTATGTTGAGATATGTTCCCTGTATCCCTAGTTCTCCGTGACTTTTACCATGAATAGATGTTGGATTTTGTCAAGGACCTTTTATGCATCTAATGAGATGATCATGTGACTTCTGTCATTGTGTCTCTTTAGTGGTGGATTACATGTATTGATTTATATATGTTGAACCATCTCTGCATCTTTGAAAGGAAGCCAACTTGATCATGGTGGATAATCTTTTTGATATATACGTTCTTACATTGGTTTTTGAGGGGTTTTGTTGTTGGGTTTTTGGGGGGGGGTGTTGTTTTGGGTGTTTTTTTAGTCAAGGTCTCCCTGCAGCCCCAGCTGGCCTGGAACTCACTGTGTAGACCAGGCTGGCCTTGAACTTGCAGGTATCTACCTGCCTCTGCCTCCCGAGTATTGGGATTAAAGGCATGCGCCACCATGCCAGACTGGTTGGAAAGTATTTGAGAATTTTTGAGTCTATGTTCATCAGAGAGATTGGCCTATAATTTCTCTTTTTTTGTTGAATCTTTGGTTTTGGTATTCAAGTAATAGTGACTTCATAGAAAGAATTAGAGTGTTCCTTCCTTTTCCTACTTTGTAGAATAATTTGAGAAGTATTGGTATTAGATTTTATTTGAAGGTTTGGTAGGATTCTGGGCTGTATCCATCTGGGCTGGGCTCTTTTTGTTTGGGAGATTTATAATTATTTCGTCTATCTCATGGATGGTTATAGGTCTATTTGAGTTATTTATGTCATTTTGATTTGACTTTGGTAGGCTGTACATGACTAGAAAGTTATCCATTTCTTTTTTATTTTCCAATTTTGTGGAAAATGGGTTTTTTGAGTACATTCTTAGGACTCTCAATGTCCTCAATAATGCTATAGTTTCCCTTTTCATCTGATTTTATTAACGTGGGTCTTTCCCCTCTTTCTTTTGGTTAATTTGGCTAAAAGCTTATCAATCTTGTTGATCTTTTCAAAGAACCAACTCTTCATTTCATTGATTCTTTTCATTGGTTTTTATTTCTAAGTCATTGATTTCATCCTTGATCTTTATTATGTCATCCCATCTAGTCTTTTGGGAGTTGTTTTTGTTTTTCTAAGGCCTTAAGTTGAATATTAGACCTCCCTGATTTTTTTGACACGAGCACTTAATGCTCTAAATTTTCTTCTTAGGACTGCCTTCATTGTGTCTCATAGATTTTTGGCATGTTGTGTTTTCATTTTTATTCAATTCTAGGAATTTATTCATTTCCTTCTTATTTCTCCCTTGATTCAATTTTCATTCAGTCATGTGAAGCTTAATTTCCATGAGTTTTTATAGTTTTTTCCATTTCTATTTTGGTGATAATTCAGCTTTTTCCCTGTGTGGTTAGGTAAAACACAGGACATTTCAACTTTCTTAGATTTGTTGAGACTTGCCTTGTGTCCTAATACATGGTAAATTTTGGAGAAAATTTCATGGACTAATTTGGTATTTTTTTTTTTTTACATTTACTCATTGTGTATGGGGGCAGGGGGGCACTATGTGGCGCCCAAGGATTGATCTCAAGCAGTTATGCTTGGAGACAAGTGCCTTTACCCACCACTCCATCTTGTCATCCCTGTTTCTATATTTTTCTCAGATTTTAAACTGGATTAAAATATTAAATTGAAAAAAATTTCAGAAATTAACCGCAAAAACGTATATACCTGAATAGTATAACCTTTGGCAGACACCCCAGACTATCACCCACACATCCATTAGAAAATGTATCAAATGGAGCCAGTTTGGGGTGAATTTTAACAACTGTTCCCTAAAGTGTCCAGTGTCTACCTCCGAGGACAGCATAATCCAGATAGAAAGCAGAATTTGATTACTACCATTTCAGTTTCAGAAGTATTTTAAAAGAAAACTGCATCACTTTGTAGTTTTATGAGTATGTACATGGTTCAGAATTAGAAAGGAAATTTTTGTAACACAGAGCATTAAAATATTAAATGAGGGGCTGGAGAGATGGCTCAGCAGTTAAGAGCACTCACTGTTTTTGGCCAAGACCAAGGTTCATATTCCAGCACCCACATGGTGGTTAAACAACTGTCCTTAACTTCAGTTCCAGGGGATCCAGCACCCTCTGTCTATCCTCTGGTGCACTTACATACATGCAGGCATAACACACACATAAAGTGAAAATAAAAAATTTTTTAAATGTCAAATGATTAAAAACTATATCTTAATGGATGAAAATGATCATATGAGCATAAATGAGCATAAAACTAGGAAAATGAACAGCAGACCCCAATCTTTTCTAAAGGAGTATTGACAACTGATTGCTGGTAGATGAGGAACAGCTGACCTTCCTAAAACAAAGGCCTCTAGATAGGCTGACTAGATTCACCGGATGGACAAGAACTGGGGAAAGGCTAGGGGTGCCAACAACACAGCCAACAAACAGTAACAGGGATGACAGAGTATAAGGGCTCTAGTGGGGAGGGGGAGCTATCAGAGGGTGCAATCTGGGAAGTGGGTATATAGATGAATATGATTGTTTGGAATGTTCTGTGTGATATACACACAAAAAAATTAACAAATTTTTAAAATGAGTTATAGTTGAGGAGGAAGCATAAAAATTTATATTACATGTTAATTAATAGAGGTGATAAACATTACCATTGAAAACTACCCGATGACTTTATATCCATACATGGGTGCCAAGGATCTGAGTATAACCGACCATGACTAGTAATAATCAGATACAGATTAGAGACACATGTGCCAACATTTCAGCGGTATGAACAAAAACAATGAGTCTTTCTGTAAGAAACAGTATATTTTAAAATGAAATGGAGATCTTTTTTAAAGGTTAAAAACTCATTCAATTTTATGTCTTACAGGGTGTATACTGAGTTCAATACTATATAACTATTAATTCAACTGTGAACCTAAAAATTTTATAGCCACTTTTAAAGAGATGTATCTTTGCTCTGGAAACTGTTGAGTACTTAAAGCTGTAGTGATATGCTTCTAATTTAAAAAAGAAAAAAAAGAAAAAAAAGAAAATGATCAAAATGCATTATATGAAACTGTCAAAGAATAAAAATATTAATTTAGGACAGCCGTGGTGCAGTTGCATGCCTTAAATTCCAACAGAGACAGCCTGATCTCTGTAAGTTCAAGGACAGTGTAGTCTACACAGCAGGTTTGGGAACTACATGAGACCTTATCTCAAAAAAATAAAAATAATTATGTGCAATAAAATATAAAGCATCATACTCTTAAAGCTCAAAATTTAAAGTTCAGGTGATGTCTTAAAGCAGTAAAATTTAGTAGTAATTTTTACCTATCTACGTTAAAAATGGAATTGCCAAAACAGTCACCTTAGTCAAAAATGGCATGATGCCAATATCAGAGTAGTTCATTAACCTAAAATTTTTCAGAAGATAAAAGCTGATGTCAGCCTAACTACCTAAAAATCCCAAAACCGTCTACAGCAGGTTAGAACTGGCTTAAAACAAGAAGGGCCCATTCAGCCCGCCGCCTCCGCCGCACTGCCAGGCTTGCGCTAAAGCGCAGGCGCACATGCTTGACGCATGCGCACTCATCGCTGACAGTGGAGGAAGATGGCGGCGCCCAGTCGCCCTACGCCGGTGTTCGGACATGTGGGTCGCGGCGCCTTCAGCGACGTGTATGAGCCTGCGGAGGACACGTTCCTGCTGCTGGACGCGCTCGAGGCGGCGGCGGCGGAGCTGGCGGGGTGCGAGGAGGGCGGGAGAGGGCTTGGTGTCAAAAGGGGGAGGCCGGTAGGCCCACTCCCTGGTGTTTGACCGAGCGCGTGATGGGCGGTTCCCTAACCAAGAATGAGTGTGCCAGGGATGCGGCTGCTTTAACCGTGTTCTGGGCTCCTTCCCGCATTACTCTGAATAGCACAGGCATGGACCTCAGACAGCGAGAGCATAGCATTCAGAAACAGGATATTTCAGGAACGCTGCTGCTTTTCAGCATTAGCTTTTAGTAAATCTTTAAAACTCATGTATGGTTATTTGATTCACTTTGTGAATAAATAACATCCTTTGGCAACGGAAGGACACAGACGATTATGAAGTAGTGAAGTGTGTAAGTATTTTTCACATGGTGAGCTGGCGCTCTACGCCTGAGCTCCACTTCCAGCCCCCAATGTGGAAGTATTTTTAAGCACAGTCACCATACTCAAGCAGTAGCCTTTAGCCGTGTCTACTGAGCACTTGAAATGTGGTTACTGCCACTGGGAAACTGAATTTTTATTTAACTACTAGAAATTTAGTTTCGGGTAGTTAGAACTACTATACAAAATTTAAATAGCTATATGAAGCTGCCTATAGAATCTACACTGGCCTGGTTTGTTGAAGTACTGGCCATAAATTTTAATGACAAAAATACCTACATGGTAACTTTTCAGTGAAAAGAATTTGGGGTGAAGGTAGGCAATGTGGCTGAGTTGGTAAAGGCACTTGCTGCCAAGCCTGAGGACCTGAGTTCAATTTTCAGGACCCGCGTGATAGAGAGAACCAGCCTCTGCAAGTTGTCCTCTGACTTCCACCTGTGGCCCATGTGGACAGCACACTAATATAAAATTTTTGTTAATAGAATTTTGGGGGCTGGAGAGATGGATCAGTGGTTAAGAACACTGGTTTTTCTTGCAGAAGACCCGAGTTCGAATCCCAGCACCCATGGGGGCATCCAACAGCCTCTTCTGACCTCTGTGGGCATTGCACAACACAGGTGCACTTACCTACTACGTGCAGGCAATACACACACATAAAATAAAAATAATAAAATTTTTTTTAGAAAAAGAATTTTGGTCATTTATTCAATGATCAAGATTTGAGTTGGGTGTTCCCAGAATGAAATAGCTGTCAGGTTTCAAAGACGTGTATTGTGTTTTATCCCTCTTAAGCTTGGTACGCCTATAGAATGCTGAGTTTCATCACAGACAGTGGAACTTTTGGAGTTCCTGGAACATAGGATGGAACAGTAGTGTTTTATAACTTGTATGCTCAAGATATCCCAGAAAGGTTTACAAGCACAAACTGCATTACAGCGTATGGTGTGCTGAAGCGGATTCTACCACAAAGGCTTGGGTATTTCCAGCCTCGGAATTCTATTTATGAAACTATGGTAGTAACATCTAAAGACAAGCCACTTGGTAAGATTCAAACTTTAATTTGACAGATTAGACTTGTCAGACTTGTGGGCAGGTTCTAAAGCTAAAAACAAACAAAACCCTGTAACTGCATCTTGGGTAGTTGTTTGGGAAATTAAGTGCTAGAAGCCCCCCTTAAATGTCATCAAGCCAGTCTTTGTAATGGGAATAATTAGTCCTCTAAGTGAACGTATAAGATTATGTGCAAGGAAATAAATTTAAAGCATAAAAGTATAGATCAAACACCAATGTGCTTTCCCAGTTTAGTGTACAGACAGGGAATTTCTCTGTTGTTCCATCTCTAGGAGGATGTGGGACTTTTTTCCATAAGATAAGCTGCTGGATTTATTTGAGTACTTCAAAGTTGAGAAACTTTAATCAACGAATTCTGTAATAATAGTAGCCCTGTCACATTACAACAGCTCCTTGTCAGATGATTTCCTTTATATCATTGTTTCTAACCCTAAATGAACATTGCTTTGTGTATTTTATGCAATGTCCTATTGAAATTGAGAGCCACCTATCATATAACTTACGGATTTACAATATATTAAACACCTAAAATATTGCCAGTTTGGACCTATGCAATACTAAGCACTAGAGAGTTTCCAAAAATTGTAAATTTCCTCTGTATTTCCATATTTGTAAGTGACTGATGATGCCAGAGGGATATAAATTATTGTTAGCATGAGAACTGTTTCCCATTTTAATACTCATATACTATTTGTTGTTTTTTTTAGAGTGGAAATATGCCTTGAAGTTGGGGCAGGATCTGGTGTGGTGTCTACATTCTTAGCTTCTATGATAGGTCCTCAGGCTTTGTACATGTAAGTACATAATGTTCGTCCACATCCTCTACTGACTTGCCATGACTGTGGCTGTTTGAGTGAAATACTTAATTTTAAGTATACAATATGTCTCAGTGTTTTAGTAAGGACCCAAATTGCAAATTATGTTTCCTCCCAAATTCATGTTCAAAACTGCTCCTTCGTACTGTGTAAAAAAAAAAAAAAAAAAAAAAAAGTAAATAGTCACCAGTAAATTATTATGCCATATGTAATTCCAAATGTTTCCTTTTTTAAAAAATGTATTTTGTGTAATACTGAACCCTGAGAATTTTCCTATAATAATTTGTTTCATTTTTTATTTTTGGTGGCTGTGTAAGCCATAGTTAAATTCCTTAGGATGAGTGTACACATGTTTTTACCTGTGTTTTTTCATCAGTATAACAAGCCATTATTAACATGGTCTAATTTTTTCTACACTCTGTGGAGAACAAAGCAGCCCTGGAATTCCTCAGTAACAGACTTGCTTATGGCTATTATCCTGATTTTCCTTTTCCTCCTGTTTGCAGGTGCACTGACGTCAACCCCAACGCAGCTGCGTGTGCCCTGGAGACGGCACACTGTAATAAAGTCCACATTCAGCCAATAATTACAGATTTGGTGAGCTCTTCATCACTGTTCAATAGAAATCAATTTCCTTTTCAAATAAATGCAAGTCAAATTGTTTTAGGCCATAAAAACTTTATTAATTAACTTTGTTTTTGTGAGAACAGGTTTCATGTAGCCCAGGCTCACCTCAAACTTACTAAGTAGCTAGTAAGAATGACCTTGAACTCCTGATCCTCCTGCCTTTACCTCACATGCTGGGATTACAGGTATGCATTCAGCCAGTAATTAACTTTGACCATAGACATGACTAAATGTGGCACTAAATCCAGTTCATACTGTATTGAATTTTTAAGTCTTTAGGCACAGCTAACACACTAGGAACACAAATGATGTCATACGCATTTTTTTCTTAGCTATGAATCTCTCTAGTGTCTCTTGGGCAGTCTCACCTCCTCATAGTGACAGGATATTTGTAGGTCTGTGTCTCAATTCTTAGCAACTCACCAGTGAAAAGAACCCTCTCTAATCGATTACTCTAGCAAGACTGTTTGGATAAATGTGAGTCATGTGTCCAAAGACTGGAATATGAAGCCTGGCTTTGACTGAGGTCACAGTCCCATCCCACATAGATTCTACCCAGGCTACTTGGGTTGAGAATGAGAGGAGGCACAGTATCTCCATCAAAAGCCAGCCAAGGAGATATAATCAGAAGTAAGGGGAAACGGGCCCTAGACAGGTCAGATAAATAACAGCTTTATAAATAGATTTATATTTATTTCTTTTGGCTTTTTTAAGACAGGGTCTCACCCCAGCCCAGGCTGTCTTCAAGCTTCCTGTAGTATAGATGATCTTGAACTCCAGCTTCTCCTGCCTTCGGCTCCTAAGTGCACCACCACACTCCAGCCTCATGGCTTTATTTTAGGGCCATTTTAAGTTGCAGTTGTTGAAATATTTTAGGGGTATTAGTAAGACTTGGATGATATGGAGTATTTTAGTTACAATGTGAAGTGTCCTTTTAAGCAAGAACAGTAATAGCAAGCAGCACATGGACTTGAGAAACAGTGCTTTTGGTGCTGCTTTTTGGGGTAGGGGACATGAGGTGATCAGACTGTCTCAGGAAGCTCAGGCCAGCTTCCAACTCTCTTGTAGTTGAGGATGGCCCTAAACTACTGATCCTCCTGCTTTTCCCTCCCAAATTCTGGGACTATAAGCATGTACTGCCATGCCCAGCTCCCTATGCTTCTTGACCTGTATTGTTCTTACATTGAAGAGGATGGTCAGCTTTCCTACTGTTCAAATGTTCAAAGGATTTTGCATCTCAGAAAGAACCAAAAGGAACAAGAAATGTTTTCATATTAATAAAAACTAGAGTATCACCGGGCATGGTAGCACTTGGGAGGTAGAGGCAGGTAGATCTGCAGATCTCTGTGAGTTTGAGGCAAGCCTGGTCTACAAAGAGAGTTCCAGGCCAGCTGGGACTGACTTGATAGCTAAAAAAAAAAAAAAAAAAAAAAAAAAAAAAAAAAAAAACCTAGAGTGTCAAGAAAGGTGATCAAATAATTTACATGAGATCACTGTGGTGGTAATCAAAATTTTTACTTTGTTTCCTTAGTATGTCCATAATAGATAAAACAGTAAAATTTCAAAGGTAGAACAAATCCAGACCATATTTTTAAACACATGTGGAAAGTAAATGAAGTGTCTTTTGGAAAAACCACATTGTTCATAAAAATACTTCTAGAATTAAAGCCCAGGTCTTCTGACTCCCAGTCCATCAGTCTCATCACTGCTCTAGGACTGACTGGTAGTTTTCCTGCCAGAGTTAATTCTTCAGTAAAGTTGACCCTGGTACTGAATATTGATTTGGCAAAGCAAGAAACAAGAGACAGGCCTCAGAAAAGGCATTATGGTCAGTTTACAAACTCTTTTTCATTTACTTATATTCAAAACACAGGGATCATTTCAACTATCATATGAAATAAAGCCACTGCCTTAGGCAGCTGCAACCAGCTGAACGTAGCACTCAGCCTAGTACTCAGGAACGTGAGACAAAAGGATGGGCGTCTAAGGCCAGCCTGGGCTACATAATGTGACCCTTTCTTAAATAACAAAAAAGCTGGACATGGTGGCACTGTCTTCATCTTGGCACTCAGGAGGCAGAGGCAGGCAGATTTCTGAGTTTGAGGCCAGCCTGGTGTACATAGCAAGTTCTGGGCTACCTAGGGCTACGTAATGCGACTCCGTCTCAAAAAGAGGGTAGAACTGTCATTGTATTTCATTTTTAGATTTAGATTATAGTCTTTAAAAATACTATTATGGGCTGGAAAGATGGCTCATCAGTTAAGAGCCCTGGCTGCTCTTGCAGGGGACTCAGGTTTGGTACCCAGCATGGAAACTAACAACTGTCCATAACTTCATTTCCAGGGGCTCCAATGCCCTTTGGCGGGGAACTACATGAATATGGTGCACTTACATACATGCAAGCAAAATGCTCATACACATAAAAACTTTATAAATTAAAAAATATAAAAATACTTATGCATTCCTTTATACTCTTAAAACATACTAAACAGCTATTATTTTGAGTTATATATGGTAGTTATAAAGCCTATTCAATTATCTGCCTTGTGAAATAGCTATAGTCTAAAGAAATTTCACGGTGTTTTTTTTTTTCTCCTGTTTATCTTTTTACTAAGTTTATGTTGTCCTACTTCACTGGTTTCTGTTGGTAGAACTTCCATTTTCCTTGTTGATATGTAAGAAAACCAATTGGCCAGTTTCGACTTGTATTTAAACAAAGAGTCAAGGGGCTTTGAACAAGTATCTCTTATTGAAATAGAGTCTATGTGTGTATGGATTTAACACTTCTTGTAAGAGGCCTCACTTCTCATTTCTTAAGAGCTTTCCAGACTGTAACAGTTTCTAGAAACTGAATAGGCCTGAGAGTTTCTATTTTAAGATTTTTATCATTTTTCTTTTTATTTAAAATCCAGTACTGCAATTATTACTATATAGTACCTCAAGAGCCATCAAGAACAGTTATAAAACAAAATCCTTTCTAGTATCCTTACCCAAAATGTTTCTGGAAAATTATATTTCAGAGTTCTTTTGAGAAAATTTCTTTATAGGATTGAAAACAAAGATTATTTCAAATGTATTTCCTCATCCCTTATTTTTGATTTACAAAGTTGCATCTGAATTATTTCAGAGAATGGGTTTTTGAAAGACACAGAGATAGAATTACTGCTGTACGCATACCCTCAGAAATAGGCCATGCAAGTTCTCTTTGAACTGCAGAAATAACAGGCTTGTCAGGGTAATTAAAATGGGTTAAGTATAGAAATCGGATAAGGAAATTCTCATATATTATTTCATAATATATGCTCATACCCAGTCCCAGCCCAATATTTCCAATGCTTAGACTTGGTAACTGGGAATCAGATAACTTTGAATCACACACACACACACACACATACACACACACTGGGAATCAGATAACTTTGAATCACACACACACACACACACATACACACACAGGGGGAATCAGATAACTTTGAATCACACACACACACACACACATACACACACACTGGGAATCAGATAACTTTGAATCACACACACACACACACACACACACACACACACACACACACTGGGAATCAGATAACTTTGAATCACACACACACACGCAATGCAATTTTTTTTTCCTTGTTCCATAGAAAACTGCGCCCAGTTGCTGGGAAGATAATTTAGTTGGTAAAGTGCCTGTGTCACAAGCATGAGGACATGAGTCCCAGAGTCCATATAAAAAGCCAGGCAGATAGAATGCTTGTAATCCCAGCAATGGCCAGATGGGAGGCAGGCACAGGTGGATCTGTGGAAACTCACTGGCTAGCCAGCCTAGCCTCAGTGAATTTCCAGGCCAGTAAGAGATCCTGTTCTCAAACAAAAAGTGGAAGGTGCCTGAGGAATGGCACCATGGTTGTCCTCTGACCTCCACATGCGTACACATACATGTACCCACAACATGCCTACACAGTTCCTCTTAGTTATAGGAAATAAATGTAGTTAGCAGACACAGCTGCAAAGCTCTTTACAGATCCACAGAATACACCCTACAGATCCAGAACTTGCCTCATCCTTACGTCACATTCTGGAGTGAACCCAGACTAAATGTGTCTGCTTTGGAAGCACAGAAGCCATGCTCAACACCTATTCCTTCTCATAAATACTCTAATTTACTTGTTTTAGCTTAAATTATATATCTGCACCTGAACGAAAATTTAAAAAATCTGTTTCTGTCTATAAGTACTTTTTTTCAGAAAACATAGAAGAGTATTTTTAAAGATTTATTTCATTAATTATTTAGAACAGAATCCAACTTAAAACCATATTGTTGCTGAATACTTTCAGGTCAAAGGTTTGCTGCCCAGACTGAAGGGAAAAGTTGATCTGCTGGTGTTTAATCCCCCCTATGTAGTCACCCCACCTGAAGAGGTAAGACCTACAGCAGAATTCAGTCACTGTCTTCTGCTGTTTTGTTTTAAGATAAAATTAACTTCATCTGATAGCCATCGACTGCTGTTAATACTGTTCAGATTATACACAGATTATGTGATTATCAGTGTCACATACTGTAACTAACACAGGGAAGAACGCTAAAGCTGAAGGAAATACGGAAATACAAAGTGCAACCCACATCTCATTACCATTCTCACCCAGCTCAGACCATGGTGCTTGAAATCATGTATTCACATATTTAAACCTGTGCATTAGTGTAAATAACAAATTTTTAAAATATTTATTATTTTTATTTTATGAATGTATTACCTGCATGTATGTAAGTGCACCCATGTCATGCAATGCCTGCGGAGGTCAGAAGAGGGTGTCAGATCCCCTGGAACTGGGAATTGAACTCGAGACCTCTGCAAGAGCAGCCAGTGCTCTTAACTGCTGAACCATCTCTCCATCCCCATAAATAACAGATTTATAAAGCAAATTTTTAGCTGGGCATGGTGGCACACGCCTTTAATCCTAGCACTTGGGAGGCAGAGGCAGAAGGATCTCTTTCTGAGTTCAAGGCCAGCCTGGTCTATATGGCAAGCTCCAGGCCAGGTCTCAAAAAGACCAAAATAGAAAGCAAATTTTTAAAAAATTTTAATTTGGGGGCTGGAGAGATGACTCAGTGGTTAAGAGCACCAACTGCTCTTGCAGAAGACCCAGGTTCGATTCCCAGCACCCACATGGTGGCTACAAACTGTCTTTAACTCTAGTTCCAGGGGAATCCGAAGCCCTCTTCTGACCTCCCTGGCATTGCATGACATGGGTGCACTCTCTTACATGCAAGCAATGCACTCATAAAAAATAAAAATAATATATAAAATATTTTTTTTAATTTTTTTAAATTTTATTTATTTATGTATTTTTGAGACAAGGTCTCTGTAGCTCTAGTTGGCCTGGAACTTGCTACATAGACCAGATTAGCCTCAATCTCACAGAGATCCACCCGCTTCTGCATCTTGAGTGTTGGGATTTAAGGCATACATCATCATGCTAGGCTTAATATATATATATTTTTCCACTATTCAATCTTGGCTGCCACAATTGAACAGAAAACATGAGAAAACTTTCTTTTTGCATCTCTAAAAGGCTTAATACTTTTAACCAACCATAAATTCACTCCTCTGTCACAGGCATTACCAGAAATTAGAAGTGTGGGCCAATCTTGATCTTAGGTAGGG